ATACCCATCCCGGAACCATATCACCATCAACAGAACAACCGCGATACACAAGTGGAGGATAACGGCAACAAAGAGGATCCCGTTCCTTCCAGAAGCAGAGAGACAGTAGACCATCAGATAAGTGGTCCGCGGAGAAGTTTGAGGAACAGAAGGAAGACGAAATTTTTTGTCAGCAACCATCAAGTCTGTCATGGTCGCGCTGGTATGAGAACAGACGGTTCAAAACAAAAAAAGCTATAAAAGTGAACTGGTGAAGGCACCAAACGAAAAGGGTGGATGTGAATTCTAGAACTGTTTTGTGTCTCAGGAAGACGATGTAGACACAGTTGATATGTGAAATAGGTATAACTGTCAATCGTATACGAATGGGACGTCGTGGACAGTGAGTGGAACAATAAAATTTTTTTTACGATTTTGCGATTGACTTTGGAGGAGTGCACCTGCCAGGCGTTGTTTGTGGTTGAAAACACACAAAAAAAGGCAGGGGTGGATGTAACTAGGGTAGACCTAGCTACTAGTTACAAATCTGATAACGAACGATAAGCCGAGACGCAGTATTACAGTCTGATGCAACCGATAGCAGGTGGCTTATTGGATCGGACTGATAACAATCTCAAAGCCAACGCGTGCTATTTTGGGAAACGGTACGAGGGGATTCAGACGGCCTGTCAACTTTGATTGATAGGATGCAGATGTTTATTACACGGACTGTACGTTAGAACTGCGCAACTAGTGGTCGGCGACATCGAGTACAAGTATCGATTACGGAGGAATACAAGTACGAAGACGAGTACGAATACAAGGGATAAATAGGAGGGGACGGCTGAACTCGTTCTCTTCCCTCTTCATCGCTCGCTTTAGATCAGTCAGTCTGTGTGACATATCAAGTTGGTTATATTGTGTTAAGAAGGACAATAGACATGTGGATTCAGTTATATGAAGCCTAGTGAGGACTGTTAGGGGTCAGTTGATTCAGACTATTATTGTGAAACATTCCTGTTGATTCATTGTGTTATATTGAAGCATTTCTTGATTCATGTAATAAAAGGATCAATAGCGAACCTGCATCTTCGAGTCTTTCTACTGTAGTCGATGTTGTGTAGCATGAGTGGTTCAACTCGTTACAATTGGCGTTGTCGGGCAGGATAGACTCGGGGAAGGTCACATATATATATATATATATATATATATATATGTGTGTGTGTGTATGTATGTATATCGTGTTCACACAGGGGCGTAGCGAGGGGGGGGGGGCGGGGGGTGCGGACCGCACCGGGTGACACCATTTAGGGGGGTGACACCAAGGCAAAAAAGAGCAAATTATATAGAGAAAAACTTGAGGGGGGGGGTGCAAATCGAAAGTTTGAGGGGGGGGGGTGCAAATCAAAAATTTGAGGGGGGTGCAAATCGAAAGTTTGAGAGGGGGGGTGCAAATCGAAAATTTGAAAGTTTGTCCCCGGGAAGGGTCGCTACGCCTCTGGGGGTGTGACACCATTAAGTGCCGCACCGGGTGACACCCGACCTCGCTACGCCACTGTGTTCACATACAACATTCAAACATACAAATATTCATACATATATATTGTAAACCAGAACAAAAAAGCATGATTTTAATGAGTAATTATCAAAAGGAAATGCACGGTTATGAAGAAAAAAATTGTTAATTTCACCCGCACATGTGAAGCAAAAAAAAGTACTAAAAGGTATGAAAATGATATCTTTTGTGCTAATTTCTATACAGCTTTTTGACACCTTGCTATTCTTAAAGCTTTTAGTTCTACAGACAAATTATCGAGTTAAATATAAACTCCGCTCGTTCAAACGTTGTCAAATAACACGTCTATACCTCAAGTGTATAAATACTATATAGACAAAAAAGCCAGGATTTCGCCAGGATATGTAAGAAAAGCCACGAAAGACTCAGGCTTGAATTGTGAGGCCATTCTGATGATATAAGTTCAGGCTACGGCTAATTTAATAATAGGCGTCTTTATTTTATAGAAGAATGGCCAATCTCTGCCAACATTTATTTCAGTTTTAAGATAGTTATGCGACAAATTTGTTTTTTCCTGGCGAACTAAAAAGTAAACTCCCAACTATACCAGATTCTTTCTTCAACATATACATAAATACCATCTCGGTAGGATTGTAGTGCTTTTTGAGATATTCAATCCTTGCAGCTATCCGTCCTCTGGAAGACAGTGTTTCTTCCAGACTTTTTTCTCGGGGGGGGGGGGGGGGGGGGGGGGTTCGGGCGAAGCCCCCCCCCCCCCCCCCCCCCCCCCCCGAAGAGATGCCTGGAAGAAACTCTGCTGAAAGAAAAGATGCACAAAAACAATTATGGATGATGTAGAATAATGCATGTGTACAAAATTAATAAAGGTTGTCAGAATTTAATATACATGAAAAAAATAGATTGTCTAAAATGGGAGATATTAAACTTTAAAAATTTCAATCTAAAACCTAAATCATGAATCTAAATGTAGTCTAAAAGTAAAAGGCATAATTACATGTATAACTATATTGTATAAGTATTGATTGGTCGAGAAATTACTACCACGGGTGCTTTTTATCCAACATCGTATGGTACGCTTTAGCCGACTTTGACTGGAAACCGATTTCTACTTCTTTTTTTTATTTTACCATAACCAAACGTGTATTAAAGAAAAAGAGTGATTTGGTCAGCGCATTAGAACATTAATAAATAAAATACACGAATTCTCTACAGCCTAGTACATTAATAAAGACAGCCCAACATTACATCGAGTAAAAACAAAACACATTTGACTCACCGCTTCCTTTTTTTAATTGTCAGTTGTCAGCACGTAGATCTCATCAGTTAGAAAAATGTAACCTGTTACTGCGATTTTTTATGCTCAGGTACAGAGAAAATAAGGGTGCTACGAATTGCACAGCGGTAGGGATTGCCCACCTGTACCATTTATATTCACATATAAAAGATATTCTTGTTTCAAGGGAAACAACCAAACAAACAAACTTTCTTAAACATGTTTAACATCTTTTTCTTATATTTATTTATTGAAATAAAATTCTACTAATACTAAATTATATCAAATATTTTAGGTAATTTCTGCCAGTGACTTTTTTTATTGTCTCATCTTAGATATCATCGATTTGTTTATTTCTAAGTATGTAAACTCATCGACTATACCCACTAGTGCAGAGGAGTTTAAAAAATTACTTAAAGAAAAGGCAATTCAATTTATACAATCACTATATCATGTCTTTTATTAGATTCTACATATTTTTGGCTCCCTCATTAGGGACATGCAAAGTATTTTTATTTGTTTTCTATTTCTTATATTTAATTTTGGAAATTAATATCTACTAATATTAAATTATATTAAATACGTGTAGGTAATTTCCTCCAGTGACTTATTTTATTATATCATCCTAGATATCATAGATTTTTTTGTTTCTATGCATGTAAACTCATCAACTATTCCCACTAGTGCAGAGGAGTTAATAAAAAAAAAACTTAAGAAAAGGCAGTTCCATTTATAAATGCTGTTTCGTGTATTTTACTACATATTTATTTCTCCTTCATTAACGATATGCAAAATATTTTTTTTTAATTATTGCGTAATCATACCTCACTCATATACAAGTTTAATATAATTTTTTTTCTGCATAACCATGTTATGTCATTTAATGATAACATGTTTATAACGGATTTTTAAAAAAATGGTATTATGAAATAAAACATTTAATTTCGTTATTTAAAAAGTTAAATGATAGTTATTCGCCTAGCAATGTGAGCCTATGAAATTTAATTAAACAGTTATTTTTATTTTTTTTTATAAATGTCTATGGGAAGTTCTAGAAGATTCAAACTAGGGAAAATTAATATCATGGTTAATAATAACATTAACCATAAAAATACGGTACATTTTTTGTGTGTGTGTTATTCCTTTAATCAGTTCTCTAAAGTCGCGCGTGTGTATGGGTGTATGTGTGTATCTGTGTGTAGGTGTGTGTGTAGGTGTGTGTGTCTATGTGTTTGTGTGTGCTTTCACAAAAATAAATACCCCCACAATTTAAAACAATTATAAGTATTAGCTTTGATACTTTTGTAAATAGTATATGATATCCTAACAACGAACAGTCTGCAAGCTACGTTCCTATGGTTTCATGTTTCCTCTAAAAACTGATATTTATATTGTATATACGCCCGAAGATACACACACACACACACACACAAACACACACACACACACATATATATATATATATATATATATATATATATATATATATATATATATATATATATATATATATATATATATATATATATATATATATATATATATATATATATATATATAAAATTTAAGTAGTTGAAATTCTTCCGAAAATTGCGTCACACTTTCCCATGCAAATTCTACACCACTCTATGGTCGAATGCCTCACGCAATACGACACAACACATTTCTAAAATCCCTACCCCAAATGTCCAGTACCTTAAAATAAATAACATTGTGTATCATGAATTACTGCCCTTGAAAAGTTAAAAAAAGCTATGCTTCTTTCATTGACCCGCACCCCCACTCCCCACACCCCGTCACCTGCAGCGTTTCTTCCAGACTTTTTTTCTCCCCGGCGGGGGGGGGGGGGGGGGCACTTTACATTTTCAGGGGGGGGGGGGGCGAACTGAAATTTCCTGGGGGGGGGGGGGGTTGGACACTGTTAAAAGTATACATGTATAAATTTTCTATATAAATTCCATCTCGTTCGGGGGGTGGGGAGGCGGTAGACTCTCTTAGGGGGTTGGGGGGAGGCTCAGCGCCCTGAAGAGATGCCTGAAAGAAACACTGCTCACCAGCTGATAAAGCACACTGGCACACAAGACTGAATTTCACTAACCTCTAGCGGTGTGACATTATGCATAGGCTATCCATTTACCATAGGGAAATCATCGTCGATTTACTACTAATATCTATTTATACCACGTCAACAGATTTTTACCTTGAATTAGAATGATTGTATTACAAGTTGCCACCTGGCTCATAGTTCAATTATTGTATATCGAATTCTGCACCAGCATTATAGGTAAGCTTGTTGTCATTTTTCAAAAAATTTTGATTATTCCCTTTCCTATAAATCACTGATTGATTTGTTTATTTTAAGGATACATGAATCAAATCTACATAAAGTACTTAGGCGAGCTTAGTATTATTGGCTTTTTCCGTGGTGTCAATACATAAATGGCGAATAAATCACAATATCTACACTGGTCGTTTCCAAAATTTCACGAACCATCAACATTCATTGCAAGAATTACATTTAATTGAGTAATTAATTATATTTTCAGTACGGGTGAACTACACACACAATGACGTCATCGACCAACCGTTACCCGATGACGTCAACGTGACGGTGACCATCAACGACACGACGTCCGTCCTACTGCAACTCAAGCGTGTCCGCTACGTCGGTCTGGACACGCCTGTCTACACAATCACGACGGACAAAGATGGACGCCTCGTCCGGTCGAGAGAGTCACCGGACAACCGGGAGGTAAATGACGGACCGGATTTCTGATAGAGTTAGAGGGAATTTTTAAAGGGAAGTAACTCATTGGTAGGGACGGAGTGGTCTAGCGGTAGAGAGCTGCACTACTAAACATTTAGTCCCAGGTAGACCGTCCCTGAGTCCACCCAACTCTGATGGGTACTTAACTCACGTTAGGGAAAGTAAATGCGGCTGGGCATAGTGCCAAAATCACATAAACTTGCCCCATAGACCGTCCGGTTTGAAAGGAACTCATTGGTGGTGGATGGTGGGATAGCATGGGTTAATGACAGAGAGGTAAATAATATGATGGGGAGTGGTTGGGGGAAATATCAAGGGGTAATTTACAGGAAAGTAATTCATCTGAGGGGGAGCGGGAGGGGTATAGCAGAAGTTTATGTCCGAAGAGTTAGTGATAGAGAGGTAAGTAAATCTGGGGGGTAATGGTTGGGGGGTAATAGCAAGGGGTAACTGACAGAAAAGGGACAGCGTGGTAGAGAGATAGACTGCTAATACGAAAGTCTCGAGTTCGAATCCGGGTTCTGGTCAGGAAAACGTCCCTGAGTTCACCCAGCTCTAATGGGTATCTGACTCAAGTTAGGGAAAATAAGGCCGTTTGACATATTCATTCACATGTCGAGTGAAACAGATGAACTCTACTTCATCTGCCTCATGTGTCTTGCGCGCGAACGGTAAAATATGATGAACTGACATGAGGTTATTTACCTGGGAGGTGGGGGGTTGTGACGGGGGTAATGGTAGGGGTGAGGTTATTGATAGGGAGGTAAACAATAGGTGGGCGATAAGAGTTAGCAACGGGGAGTATTGACCAGGTATATACATTATGATTCGCTGAATTTACTTTCCCCTTGAATTAAGCTAAGTACTACAAAGAGTTGACTGAACTCAAGGTAGTCGAACCCGGGATTTGGGTTTCTTTCAGACATTCTTCTACTGGGTACTTAAATCATAGGAGTGGGGGCGGGATGTAGAGTGGGCAACCACCAACGAAAATATATTTTATATCTAATTTATATCCTCTATTTCGTCCGTGTCGGGGAGGGGATTGAAGGGGGGGGGGGGGGATAGTGCCCCCATTATTTTTGTCTATATTAACAAACTAGCCGTCCCGGCCAGGCCCTGCTCTGGCTTCTGTGAAAAACCCTTCTGTTAAAGACCATCACCTGTGTGTTTAGTAATCATCATAAACCGGCATTGCCCACCCAAACCACAACCAACCAAAACCAAAACAACAAAACGCAAACATAACGCTAACACAATTACACATACAAACGAAAACAAAAACTTACAACAAACCAACCACAACCACAAACACCAATACGAACACAAAGAAAAAAGCAAACGAAAACAAACCAAATCCAAACACAAAACCAACCACAAACACAAACACAAACCCAAAGAAAAAAAACAAACGAAAAAGCAAACGAAAACAAACCAAATACAAACGCAAAACCAACCACAAACCCAAAGAAAAAAAACACAAAAGAAAAACAAACGAAAACAAACCAAATCCAAACGCAAAACCAACCTCAAACACAAATACAAACACAAACCCAATGAAAATAAAACACAAACGAAAACGAAAAAAGAAAGAACAAAAACGAACCAAATCAAAACGCAACCACTAACGCAAACCCAACCTAAACACAAAGAAAACACTAACGCGAATATAAACGCAAAGTGCTCACGGGGCTGAATCGCCTACTTCAACTTAATAAACGACTATAGTACCCCAACTTATTCATAGTCTTTTGCACTCACTTTAATGAACGTAGGCGCGAAACCGAACACGGGAGGCCCGGGACCCCAAAAAGCACCCTGTCTGGGCGCCAGAGGACGCACCATGACGTCACCGCCTGATTGAACTTAGTAAACGCCTATAGTGCATAACTTATTTATAGTCTTTTGAACTCACGCGAACGTAGATACCATAGCGTACACCGGAAGGCCCGGGGCGCCAAATAGCACCCTGTCGGGGTGCCGGAGGACGCCCGGATTTGATTCACTTAAAGACTATAGTAACCTTTCTTATCCATAGTCTATCGCACTGTTTAAAACAAAATTATGCAGCATAGCGCCCACATGATAGCCCAGGGTGCCAAATCAAACCGTGCAGGGGCGCCGGCGGACGCGCCTGTTTCAATTTAGTGAACAAAAATGATAATACTCCAAGCTTATCCGTAAATGGAAAGAAATAAACGTAGGGCTATATGATTTGTAGGACCTGGCTTATTAAATGTTATTGATTTAAAAAAAAATAATAATTATTGAACAGTATGTTCAGTGTATAGAATAAATAAAAGGCACTGTTAAAAATACCTAACGACATTGCACTTAATCAATCCCCGCTAATTATGTAATTATTTTTTTATTTCTTAACACCAAAAACAAAGTAATAAAATGTAAATTCTTTCTTTTTAAGAATTTGTTTTTATTAAAGGGAAGTAACTGTGCAGTCAATACATTTCCGACACAATTTTAGAAATTTTATAAACGTCGATACACTTTTTAAAAATTTTATGTCGCGTTCATAATTGAAAATTATTCTTCTAAGTAAATAGAATGAAAATTGTTTTTAAAAACTTTCAATGGTAATTTTTTGACTCGTACATTTAGACTGTGAGCACGATAAAAAATCTAACACTTAAATCCATAGAAGTGTCAACGACAAACTTTTTTGCCACACGTTACAGAACTGAGCTTTATATATTAGATAATAATTTTTAACTCACGTCTAAAATTCTCTAGAACCTCATGTATCCGCTTCACCCTCTCCATTTTAGTCGTGGTAGAATAGTTGGGGCCCCTTGTGGAGGTTAGGGCCTCCCCTAGCAAATAGTAAAATACTAATTGGAAATAATGATAATAGAAAAACTTAAAAATGAATATCTTAATTAATTAAGTTTAGTCAAGTAATAAATCATTCAGTAAAATTGACCTTCTGGTCATTGAGGGTAATAAAGTGACCTCCCATTGAAATAGCTAATGTAGGTAAAGTTCACTTTTCGACGTTCAATGCGGCAAGGAAAGTAGAGTTCACCTATTTCTGTGACCTCAGTATTTAAAATGAAGGTGTGGACAGCACTACGCCCAGCCGCCTTTACTTTCCCTAACGAGAGTTAGGTACCCATTAAAGCTGATGGACTCAGAGACGTTCAACTAAGTTTGAACACGAATTCGAACTGGAGACTTTCTGATTAGGAGTTTAGCTTTCTACCGCTAGGCCACGCCGTCCCAAAAAGCTAATGTAAGATCATTATTATATTCTGTTCACATAATTTAATTCTCAACAATAAGAATGTGCAGTATATTAAGAAATAACTCTTTTTCTAAAGGTCACACACATCCACCTTCATCAAACAACTGACTCAACCTCTATCAAACACGTAACATTAAGTCGCCATCTTGATTCGCGAGATACAGAATCACCAAAGTAAAGATACCACTCTAATATAGCCCCTACAGGTTTCTATTAGCTTTTCCGAATATTTTCCTCTTACCTAATCTTCCAAAGCCTGCTTTTTGTTAAAACTTTCTAACTTATCACGACCGTTTTGTATGTAATGGTTCTTCATTCATTATTTCATGCAAGTCACGGTCCATTGATTTTTCTCCCAACCTCAGACACTGCTATTCGATTCGCCAATCAAATGTCGTAAAGACGCCATTGACCCTGCCTTTAATCCAAATCGTGCCATAAAAATCTAAAAATAAATTCCGTGATATCCGGTTATAAAAAACGCATTTTTTTTCAAAACGAATGTATACAAAATATTGTTCTAATTTTCTTTTAAATCCTTTAGGGTTAATGTAATGTGAAAGTAAAGAATGTAGGCCATTTAGGAATCTTTGTGTCACCTGTTTCGCTTATTGCAGTCATATTCTGTTTGCTAACCTGTTCAATTTTTTAAACAATTTTTTTTAAGGTTCATTGAAGCGTACTAACAAAATAGCAGAGCGTATCGTGAAAAAATTGACATAGCTTTACATTGATTTGGGTCACGAAGTCAAAAGGCCTATAGAATGTTACCGAATAAGCGGTTTAGTGTAAGGTGAATTTGACGCCTTCACTAAATAACGCGGTGGACGGTATTCGTTTTTGCTGAATTAGCGGTGGGTGGACGGGGTCATACAAAGTTGACGTAATGCATATTGGGACGTTTTTTTTTTACATCTTTACACATCGTCATAAAGTGACACTCCCATGTGACGTCATATTTCAACCATTCCCCCACCCCTCATTTTTTTATGAAACATATATTTCTCTCTAGCATAGAAACTGAGCTTAATCGGTATTAAGCATAACTATCAAACTATCAATGTTAGTTGGGATTTTAAAAAAAAAAATTCAAAGTACAAAATTGGTAAAAATTAAGTTAAAAAAAAAGAATGTTTAAATGTAAAAGTGACGTCATACTTATTAAACTCCCCCCTCCCCATCCCCCACAACAAAAAATATTTTTCTCAATATTATATATCAAGATTTAAACATCTTCTGCGTTAATACTTTTAAAAATGTTTGGTAACGTCTTTACGTTTTGTTTTACTTGATTCATGTTTACGTCACTTCCTGATAGAACATCGGCTACTACCAAGATGTGACCAGTCAGGCCGCTCTTCAGATCCAGAGAATCAAAAGTTCAGTAGACACAGATGCCTATCTTCAGCTGGTAGGTTAGAAATGGAATTAGTCTAATAATTAGTTTGTGGCTCCCAAAATAGTTTGTTAGTAAATGGAAAACAGTGACTAGATTAAAACTGGTGTTTTTATTGTCAATGCTAGTTATACAGATTAGTAAATGAAACACTTACATTGCGAGGTATAAGCAAAAATAACACTCGTTTTTTAAATATTATATATGTTATATATATATATATATATATATATATATATATATATATATATATATACATTAGATATATATATATATATATATATATATACATATTTACATATATACATATATACATATATATATATATAATATAATCTATGTATATATTATATTTATATAATTAAATTACATATATAGAAACATAATATATATTTGTTACTGTTTCAGAGAGGAGAGTTTGTACATTCAGGACTTCAGTACTCACTGACCCCCAATGCACGTGATAAACGGGATATTACGTCACAAGACGTCCACTATAACCTACAGATAGAGAAATGGCCTTCACCTTCGGAAATAGACTATGAACTCCCAGGTAAGCTTATTAAATTAGAAGATTTTATTGCTTACTTAAATAATAGAAAACAATGCGGAATATTTCAAAGAAATATTATTTCGCTTTATCAGGATCAATGTTTTTATCAATTTTTGTGTTATAAAATAAATTGGCAATTGCACCCTATATTACACTGAATTAAAAAAGCAGACACTACTGTAATTAAGGTTAGCACATTCTTGTGGTATTAATTGATAGTTTTATGTTTGTGACTACTGTGTTTGTTACCTTAAAACACCCTTTTCCCATATTTCCAGGGAGATGGGGATTTTAATCTTCACGAATGAGAAATAAAAAAAAAAACTTGTATGGGGAGGGTGGGGTGTAAAGTAGTCTCTATATCTCGGCAAATAAATGCCCAGCCGCCTTTAGTTTCTCCAACTTAAGTCAAGTACCCATCAGAGCTGAGTGTATTCAGGGACGTCCTATATTCACTAGTCCGAACCGAGATCCGAACTCGAAACCTTCAGGCTAGCAACCAATTGCTCTAACATATTATGACGCCACCCTGTTGGATGGGGGTGGGGGGTGTAGCGGTAATTATAAAATTGGATGACGCATACTATTGACGCATACTATTTTCCATTTCGTCCGGGTTTTTTTTTTACATGTACCTGGATGTAGAATGGAGGACGTCTTCTCCCCCTACCCTCCCGGTTAGTTTCCGAAAAGAAACCTTGTAAAGCACTAGAACCTTCCATACATCTCCCACCTCTACTCCCACAGACCCACACGAGTTGGAAGAGCCACCAGCAGCCGACGCCAGTCCACCACGTGACTCCCCTCTCCCTCCCCCACACTTTTATCACCGCCGTCGTCGTCGGCAGGCCAGGGCCGACTACTACATCGACGTCACGGCCATGCTGGACTTTTGGTGCTGGAGCAAGTTCTTGACCAAAGCCGCGGGTTCCAGAACAACTGCCATGGACAATGTGCGAGAGTATTACGCTTATATTTTTAATACGGTAAGACATTGCATGTTGTTCTCATTAGTTCGCACTTGATTATATTCTCAAG